TGGAGGCCTACTGGAGGAAGACCTAGTACGGGATAAAATGTGCCAGTGTCATAAACGTGCATAGCGTAGTATCCCTTTAGTCTAATTTTTCATTATCAATAACGCGCGAAAATTATCCACGAGGGTTACGTAAATTATCTGATGAAGAAGCATTTAAATTGGAAGGTGAAATAACAGAATCAGATATTTTATAAGTTTTAAAGAAAACAAAGTCAAATAAAACACCAAGTTCAAATGGTTACACTACTAAATTTTATAAAATTTTCTTGAGAGATATCGAAAGTTCAATCCAAATAAATCTTTTTCAAAAGAGATGCTCATGACTACACAAAGATTAGGGATCGTCACGTGCATAAACCTTAAACTGATAAAGGCAGCAGTCATTAAAATTGGAGCCCAATTTCTCTCCTAAATGTTTTTACAAGTTCTTATCAGGATGGATTGCGGCTCGATTAAAAAAGAGTCCTAGATATATTTATGTTCACAAGCACAACGAAGCTCTGTTTTTGCTCCAAAGTAAGTAAGATAAGCCCATATGACTGAAAATTGTCATTTATTGATGACGAAAAGTAATATGATACGTAGTTACAAAACTGGGGAGATCATATACCGGGGTAACATCTCCCAAAGTATATAAATGCCATAACATAAAAATAATAAACAATATTAATGAGTGTAACCAAGATTAATTAAGAAAATTATGAGAAATAACAACAGCTTTAAGAGCAAAAAGTTGGCACCAATGAAAATAAAAGGCCATAAGATGTGAGAGAAGCTCACATCCCCGCCAACCGAGGATGGTAGTTTGATATCTCCCACGCAAACATGTTTTGTGAGTGGTAGATACATGTATATAGGAGAAAATATACGGTTGATATATGACATTATGGAATATGTAGAAGACAATGACATCCTTGGGTTTATTCTTAGAATTACTTATAGAGAGGGTTTTGACAGCACTGCATGGTCGTTTATTAATAACGTGCTGAGATTTTTTTCAATTTTGAATGTACTATAAGGAATGGGTACACATTTTGAACACTGATATCAAAGCTGCAGTTATTCAAAATGGATTCTTGTCCAACTACTTAAATATATCAAAAGGATGTAGACAAGGTGACCCTATTTCCCAATACCTGTTTATTGTTTAGCACAGATTAACAGTTTCATAAAACACTGCTTAACTCATTTAAGGCTCTGCAAAACTGATCTCTTGCGTACATAATTTCAAATACTTTTATGTAGAAGTTGCCGACATATGGATACTTTTTTGACAGAACCCTGCTTCGCCAATGCCAAGCTTTAACCAGTCTAAAATGGTACTATCCAATTAAATCAACAGACATGGTAGTCAATTAATTGGTAGCAACACACTTTACTACACACTTCTCCATTCACATACCTTATATGAGATCTGAGTTATTTTGAAAACTGAAATATTATATATTAAATGTCTGAAGATGTAATTCTAAACAATATTATAAAACTGAGCTATGATAAACTGATAGTAAAATTGAAAATTAGCTTGCAGCAGTGGAATAGAAGAACATTAACACCCTTGGGGAAATTTACTGTTTAAAAATAGTTATATCTAAACTGACCCAATGTCTTTTATTGTATTGAAAACATGTTTTTTTTTTAAATTTCATCTGGAATAATAAGACTGGTACTATTAAACAAAAAGTGATAACTAGTGACTTCTTCAAGGGTGGACTGAAAATGTTAGATCTGGATAGTTTCATTGATTCTTTGAAATCTGCATGGATAAAAAGATTGATGAGATGCAAGTTGGACACATAGGCAAGTATTTTTTCAACCACAATGTGAACCTGTTGTAAACATTTAACTGACTTTGATGCTGATGCAAACTGAGTTAGTTATAAAAATCGGAATTTTACACAGAATACTGCCTGAAAATCATACTAAGAGAAATAAGGGGTCACAGAAGATTATAGCTGTAAACTTTTTGAGACAGAAAAATAATATACGGAACACATGTTTTCTCTTGTAGAGTAATTGCATTCGGTATTGAAAACATTATTTTGGGCAAACATTTAGATATTTTAAGTCATTAGACTATATCACACTTGCTATGGAGTTCTATATACACATTAAATCAAGAAAACATTCCTGTTGACTTCAATTCTCTGCAAAACTTCATGATAAGAAGATAATGAATAGAAAAATATAACTTAAGGAAATCTTAAACAGGAAGTATGTTGTTATTTTAAACTTCCTTAAATAGACCAAAGCATTTGCTACTGAATACGAAAATTCCCAATACATGTACTTGCAAGGCATGATTTATTAAAATTCCAATGATTAACACAAAACTATTACTTGCTGTCACCAGAGGTTAAGAAAAAGATGTATTTGCTGTACGGTATATCCTAATTTTTTGACCAGACATTTAGTCGTTGTTGAATAAGAGCAGTTTTCGCCATTAGAACAACACTCTCGTTATACATGAACATGTAGCTCAACTGCAACATTTTAAAATCCATTTATCGAATAAAATGATATCCCAAAAATGAGCTCTAAATTGTGTACTTTCGTTGTAACGAAACATGCCCTTTACTTGATGTATCGTCGACGTACAGTTCTTTATACATGTATACCAGAGTCTTGTCCACTATTAACGGTTGAATCGAGTAAAATCGAGCTACAAAATCGAGCTACAAAGAAAACCTTTCAGTGGCATTTAACAGTAAAATATGTTTATGATTACAGTCCATGTAAGACAAGAAGTAATCTTCAAAATGTCGATAACAATATTAATAACAGCCATAAAGTAGTAATAACGATATGGTACATGATCTGAGATCGAAGTAAGATGTAGTGGCTGTTTCTATGCGGGGAGAATCATGGGATTCCTATGCGCAACTGGTCGTATGATCAGCAGCACATGTGACCTACTTGATTCCTTGCAGTCTATCACTGACTAGAGATGCTGTACTTATCAAGCTCTCCAGGACACTGTCAAGAATAACACACGCCGTGCAACAACACTACAGGGGAAACAGGCAATTCTCTCAGTAAGTATCAGAGTTTGTATGGAGTAAAAGACTTAATTGGCGACGAGGTATATACGACCTCTTAGCATATAGCTGTTGCAAGCCATTAGCTAATTTCTCCTTTGTTCGAAGCCATATTGAAAAAATTGGCGGTTGGGAGTCAGGTTTTTGATATATCACGTTGAGTTTATAACTTTCGGCTGTAACGTTATACTTTATCGGGAACAAGGAGTGCCATATTCCTTCTTGGTTTGAACAGTACTTAAATAGTTGTTCATTTGTTGCTCTTCTCATGATAATGTATATTATATTTGTGTAACAAGGGTGTAGAAAATACTCAGAATCAAACTTTATGTGTTAATGGATACTAAATTCCTAACAGTAGTTAATTCCAATACAGTAAATGTTGGAAAAATTAAAAGAATCCAAGGAAACGCGCTTGATACCAACTAAGTAAATTTTAAAGATCTTAATAGCGATGTAGAAAACAAACTTGATTTGAAAATAAACACTATTTACCCCCGACATATATTTATGAAGTTGAAGTCCGTAAATTTCTACAAGAAGTGGTTGCCATCTTGGGTTTTCTCAAATTGCAAAAGACAACATTTCGCCGAAATTTACATACCTGTATAGTAAGGTATTGGAAAACGCTGAGTGGCAATCTAAATTCAATAACTGGTGCATTATCTCCCTGGTTGTATTTGATACCCATACATGTAGATTACTATGGAATTGGTGGTAAGCTTGGCTTTTTTCCATATTTCCGTTGCTAGGATTCCTAAGGACTTTTAGTGTGTCATTTTGTGAACTTCATACAAAAGCACGGTGGTAAAATAAATAAGAGTTGCTGTTACTTTTCAATCAAACTGTAGATTGGCTGGACTATAGATAGATGACATCATGCCGTAGGGGGGGTGTTCAATTTAAGAATAATGAGGAGCGGGACAGAAAAAGTGCTCATCATTTGATGCATATGGATTTTCTAGATATCCACAATACCCCCCCTGAGCTTCAGAGATAACTTGACACTAACCTCTTCACTATAGCCTATCTTCATCGTGTCAAGTTACCTCTGACCACATTCGATTGCCCCCGCCGCCCGCCAATCAAATTTAAACCCCGCACTCAATGACTCATTGAACGATCTAGCCAATGAACGCGAACGAGTCAAAGCGCGCTTTGTTCAAATCCGGACCAATCAAAGATAAGGCTGAATATCAGGAACTTGCCGTAACCTGTGGGCAGCACGCAAAATACATCATCCCTCAGTAGATAATGATGCAGGGCCTCAAACTGCTCTGGTTTCAATTCCGATATACTCATATTTTACAAAGAATCAAGAGATAACTTAACACATTATTTTACGTAGTCACTCGTAGGAGACGCCATGCTTTCTTTGTGTACGGTTATGCACTCGGAACTACTCGGATGTCTCCGCACTCGACAATAACTTTGTTGTTAGTATGGAGCTTGCGGAATCAGCCGAGGATTACCGATTGACGGTCAACCAATCAGCGTTTTCACCAAACTTTGGTGAAAATTTTTGAAACTTGGATTCGATTGGCTTATATAAACTAGGTCAAACTATTTTCGTCAGAGGTAACTTGACTCGATGAAGATAGGCTATAGTGAAGAGGTTAGTGACAAGTTATCTCTGAAGCTCAGGGTGACAATACCTGGTTTATGGCATGATTTTCTGTAGCACATTACGTCATCCACAAATCTGGTTTATGGCATGATTTTCTGTAGCACATTACGCATGTCTACCCTAGGTTCTAGATGCCGGTGTTGCCAGCTCTATTTTGATTTCATGTATAACCCATGTCGCAATACCAGGTAAAAGCGACTCCATCACAAGGTATATATTTAACAAGCTAGCTTTTACGTTGCTCTGACACTCAGGATACGCATGGCATGAGGAGTGACACTTATTCTTGCTAAGGACGTATATATTATTCAAACCTTTCTATACCTAAACAGAAGATGGCTGACCAAGACTCATGCCCGATTTCCTTGGATGAAATAGATGCTTTATCCAACCTGCGAGAAGGCATCCGAAAGTTACGAGAGTTAGGGATAGACCACGCTGGAGTGAAAAACGTGGCCGACGTCGTCCTCAGATTGAGAAAATTCCTGAAAGAACATGGAATAGGCATGGCTGAGGACCCACTAAATGTAAGTTAAAATCGCATTAAATAAACACTGGGGTGAATTTCCCAACGAGTTAAAGCGGTAACAGCAGATTTTGATGTGAAGCTCTCAAAGCAATTTCAAACAGTTCCTCACAAGAAAAGCTGCCAACGCCGTTTTAACACCTATTTAAGCAAACCAATACGTGCTACAATCTGTTGCCAGTAAATATTCATGGGAGGCTTATTTCTGCTTTTATTAGTAAAGAGTCGTAATTAGTCTTGGGCCAATTACCCCTTAGTGATTTTTCGCCAGCATGTTTTTTTCTGATAGGTGAGGTCCTTAGATTTTTAAACTACTTGTTTGCAATTTAATTGGTGGTGTTTGTGGGTGTCAGAGCCGTTGCCATGGTAACGCGCGGGTTAAAAATTAACATTTCTGAGACCAACAAAATTTTGAATATTTCAAATGTATTAAATAAATGAAATTCAAAGCCATTCAAAATGTGTTGTGTTAGAGCTGCGCTATACTTCACGATTATCAAAATTTACCTAGATAACGACAACTTTAAGACGTCAGTCAATTTTTGCTGATTTAAAGAAATTTTGATAAAATTTACTTGTTGAATTTTCATTTAATTATAAATACATTGTAATATTGGAGATCGTTTTGTGTACCAGTGCAGCACGGAGTCTGTACTTTCTGCCTACGGTGTTTGATCAAGGTAAATCCTTTTTAAGAGGTAAAATCTTGAAATCCAAGATGGCTGCCAAAAACATGCATTTTACATATTGCTGTTCAGACTGGCGATAAGCCACATTTAACATTCCAAAATTAATTCTGTATTACTTTATTGAATACGAAAACAGAATCGTTTTCAATAATTCGAATTAATTCATGTTACCGTAGGACCATGAAATGACACCATATAGATGATAATCATCTTCGATTTTTACAAAAAGTCTCAGAGATATAAGGAAATCTTTAATGGCTTTCCATAAAATAATGAACGCACTTCACTGAAAAAGACTACAGCCGAGGCATTTCATCCTCTACCAAAAAGTCTAAATTCTAAATTTTGCGATTTAATATGGACAAGTGTTACTATGATAGCAGTGTGGAAAGGCCATTCTTAATTGTAATTAACTGCACAACTTTTATACTTTTATTTTTACTTGCCTTGTTTAATTTTATAACAGTATAATATCATATTTGCATTACCATGGTCATTTGTGGCCATGGTGAATTTTAGAACTTAAAATTATAATTGAACCAGCAGCGTTTTAGTCCCGACCAGTCTCGTCCGCCGTATCTGCCGTTTCCGCGGGCTCCGTCGGCTCCGCCGCCATGTCACTGTTACCGCTTCTCTTCCTAGAGTACAAGAGCCTGCAGGCCCATCTCTTGGATTGTGGTCACATATAATCTCAACTAGTTGCACGTAAAATTTGGGATCTAAGTTTTCAAAAAGACATAATGACTGAAAGTCACTAAGTAGGGGATATACAGTGGCCCATGGACTTTGCATGATGGCGTAATGTAGGTAGGGACTCATATCTCCTCAATATAAACCCTAAAACCAAATGTTGGCACCAGGGTATAGTTGTCAGCCATGTCAATTGTGATGTTGAAATTTTGCTCCGTTACATAATACCAACCATAATCACACACCCATTTACAAAACAGCAAAATTGACAATCGCCACTTGGCCATCCTTTGCGTATAAGCCAGTGGTTGGCGAATAAAGCCACAAAAAGTGTTCATGTCAATAATAATAATTTTCATTATTAAATTATTTTTCTTAGAAAAACGCGAAAAACAGTTTGCCAAATGTAACCTATAAAACGCATCTACCCAGTTGGTGCAAACGTTTCACACTATGAACATGGTTGCAATGGTTTTTAGGCCGCTGAACTGATGGCAGATGCTTTGGAGGAAGATAAGGTGACAAGACAACAGCTACAAGAATTTTACAAAGACACCATTGATTACATTTCTGGTTTACCAGAAAGAAGAAGACATGACCTGAATCAAAACATTCCGCGTGTGGAAGAAAGATTACATGAAACCGTTGAAGAACTATCTAAAAACCAAAGTGGGATTTTAGTAGCAGGTAAATCTGAGTGGGTGCAACAGTTTTAATTGGCCTATCTGTTTCTAGAAAGAATAACTTAGTTATTTTACAAGTGTTGATGAACAGTCTGGTATTGTAAATATACTAGAAGACTTTACCGTGCTTTAAATTTGATATTATTCCTGTAAAATTGGCCCACATTACCACTTCTTCTATGAAATTATTTGAATTATTTGCCATACCTCTATGTCAACATAAGCAACCTTCGTTCTCGAACTTGCATATCGTATACGGCAGAATCCCACACTTTGGGATCACCTTTCAGCATTTGTGAAATTGTGTTCACATATAATTCAGGTGAGACCGGTGCTGGTAAGAGTTGTTTGTTGAATCTACTCCTTGGGGAAGATCTTCTTCCAACGGATTTCTTCAGTTGTACCGCCGTGCTGTGTGAATTAAGGTACATCTACGTCATTAACAGCATGGTGGCTGGAGGAGTGCAAGACGATAGGGTAATATGGATTGCAATTTATTCCACAGAGTCATGTTTTTGTACAACGTTACAACAGGTGCTTTAATATGTTTTAAGTTATTTATAACTCAACCTGTGCGTACATGTCTTTGGTCTGGAATAAAAGACGTCTGTCTCCATTATTTGACTTTCGTAAAATCAATCAGACCATTTTTATGCCATGTATCTGCAAAGATTCAGCATATTAGTGATATGCAGATCCCTCCTGAGATATGTTTTAGATAATAAGGCAAGATGGCTTTGCATTGTGCCGCTCTATTAAAGTTACATCGTGTGTAGGGGAGTACACTTCGTTTTATTTGACTGATTAATTATGTACATTATATTGTAGGTTACTGGAGTGAAGTTCGTAAATAGCTAAAAATCAATAAATCGCCTTTTCTTTGTAGCTTCAGGATCTTCTAAGTGAGGCAGTTCGTGGTAAATTGGACTCTGAAGAAGAAGATACCGGTACTGAAAAACTCGCTTCAGGTGCTAGACTGTTCGATCCATCAACAGTCATGTTTGTTCTCAACAAGTGGGACCAGGTGCCAGACAAAGACAAGACTTATGTTTTCCAAGACACTCTTCGCAAGATACAAAAGATCTGTGACGGCTTTACTGCAGACCAGCTTTTCCCGTTGTCGGTGACAAAGGTGAGGTTATATAATCAACATAAATCATTTTTTTATACATTGTATGCACTGGCCCCACTACTCGAAAATCTGGGCTTGTCTTGCTACAGACCCGCCGGAAAGTCCCCTTACTTACTCTGCGGGTCGCAGCGGGTTGTTCAGTCGGCCTGGCGCGGTAACCATGGAAATAATATTGTCATCCATGCGCTGTTTGGTTTCTGTTAACAATAGTACCATGCCCTGCTCCGTCGGGTAATTATCGTGTCTTACTTTCTGCTAACAAACACTAGTGGGCTTGATTTGGTCTTAAAGTGCAATTTAAGTTCACAAATAGTCTTACATGATCTTAAACTATGAGTTAGACTATTTCTGGTCTAACAGCCAATTAAATTGTCTCCCCTTACACATTCTCCTATTGTGAGCAGAGGTGTCCTCTGTTGTGAGGGGAGGTATCCCCCATTGTGAGGGGAGGAAACTGCTTGACCACTTAAGTAGATGTTAGATCATTTTTGATCTTAAAAGCAGATTCAGTCCAATTTAAAACTACTGCTGTAATGTTTAAGATCGTGTAAGATCACTTGTGAACTTAAATTGCACTTTAAGACCAAATCCAGCCCACTAGTGAAAGGAGCCTAAGCCTAGCTCGCTGAGATAAAGATCGAAGCTGAGAGTGGTCGCAATTAAATGTTCGTCCAAGCGTTAATTGACCTTTAATGCGCGGTGGCTTCACTCTACTTTGATCACTCTACTCTGATGCGGAGATTTTAAGTATAAGAACTTGCCAACAATGATTTTAAAAGTGACTTTACCAAAAAGATTCGGTAATGAAAGTAACTTTCTTGTACATTTTAGCTATGGATTGATTGAATTCACATAGAGTTGAATAAATGAATGTATGAATTTATGAAAGACCAAATAAAACACTGCTCGTAGTTGTACATATAATATTTTCAAACCGCTATGTACATACTATAAACACGATCGAAGTTTATTTTTATAGTAGGTCCTAATATTTCTATTTGCTTTGTTCATGGATGGAATGCATTTTTTTCCAAAAAGGCTTGTCAGTTGTTTGAGTAATAAACATTTTGTAGGCCATATCTTTCATAGAATTCAGTCTATATTTGCATACAGGATCTCTCACATCTACACCCGTAATATTTCTGTTTGTTCATCAACAGTAAACAATATTCCCATTAACTGCACGCAAAAGTTGCCTGGGGAACCGGCCCGTTGTCGAATTTGAAAATTTTCTTTATTTGACAAGGCGAAGGGTGGCCGGCCGAAAGACTAACTACTTGGATCTGGAGGCCACAAAGTAAAAATAATTATTATCAAACACACGTTAAATATTATTATAGAAATTAGCCTAAATTTTGATACAAATGTTTCTCTGTCGTTGTTTGATATTAACTCTGCACCAATGTAATTCAAAAAGATAAAAATAGTTAATGTTTACGATCTAAACTCCAAACTTAACTAAAAGCCTTCTTCATACTTAAAGCCATCAAAGAAAATTAATTTAAAAAGCTGAATTACAATCTCTCGGGTTAACTTCACTGTTTGGCACGTGTCATCTCACATTAATTAACTGTTTGCACGTGTCATCTCACATTAATTAACAGTCAGTTCAGGTTAGCTTTATTTTTGCCGGGTAAACACAGCGATTAAGCTCTGACTATTACATATTCACTACTGTGTGACACACGTCGTCTTAAATTAATGGTAACATTGCGATGCCGCTCTTCAATCTTCAATTTTACCTAATTATCAATCAACTGACACGTGTAAACAAGATGTTTGTGTATCTGGACTTCCTAAATGGCCAGTACATATTCTGTATAATATGACATGTTTATATCACTGATTTCTGTACCATCGTGTCACCTGCCAAGTAAACGGTATAAATCGACACTCAAATGTTCCAAATCATCACAATTCCAAGATGCCTCTTAGCGATTATGTACGTTTGCGTATCATCGGCCTCCGAGAACAAGGGATGCGATTTAAAAACATCACCGCCCAAATGGAAAATGAGGACCATCAAGTGTCGCACAGGCAATTTACTAAGTGTTAGAGAAATACAACGAAGGGCTCTCTTTGCATCAGCTTTAATAGAAACTTAAGTGAGGCAATTAAGAAGGAGCAGGGCGTGTTCGTTGAGCCGACTAATTTGGGTGTCCGATAAGGATTGCTTGCCGATTTCCCTACCCTGTAATTATCATGCGGCCTCTATTGTTCCACCATACGGTGCAGGGTTGGGAAACCATGCGGCCTTTTGGTAAGGGGAGTTTCTGGCGGGATTGTATATGATTAAATGTTGTGATAAGATGTTATAAGTCAAAGTTGGGCTAGTGTTGCCACTGCTGTTTTATTCAGGGCACGCCTTTCCTGCTACGCTTAGGGATAAGACTCTGAAATGACAGCTATTTTCTGCATTCTTTTTTTTCTACCTTTTGTCTGAACATTTGACAGCTATGCTGGCTTGTTCTATCTTATCACGTAATATTTGTCTATCTGTTATACTACAAGTCCCGAAGTCAGCTTCCAAAGTTTATACTTTTAGCTAAAATATATCAGAACAAATGTGATCGCTTTTGACCTAACCTCCGTTGTGAAATAAATCGTTTTTCATTTGAACATTGGATACGTGTGTGCTGATTAATCCACCTTCATATCGTAATAGATTGATAGCACTTTGTCCATAAACAACTATAATGATACAAAAGCAAGTCTGTCCCAAGTGATTTCTATAATATTTAAATTATATTATATTTATAGAAAAAGTGTCATTTATTACCTTTTTGATTGGACTGGATCTTATATAGTCCGCTGGCTTAAGGAAAAAAATCGTGACACGGCGGATAAAAGCACCAAATTTGGCATGTGGTTACCTTTTGACATTCTAAATCAAATTAGAGCCGTAGCCCTCTGAAACAATTCACCGTTTGGTCAAAAAATCCCAAATGGCCGCCATTTTCGAAACTGGGCGGCACACCAGGCCAAAAACTGAAAGGTGCGACAGAATCTGTCGCCTGTGCACCGAAGGGGTAATTGAAGATGAATACCATATTATATTCCAATGCCCAATGTACAAAGCAGACCGAATCACCTTTTTTTAGTAAAACCTCAATCCTAAAAGCTGATACTAGGTCACCAGAAAGTCAATTATGGCATGTATTTAACAGTACCAACAAAATTACTTTAGTGTCCCTCTCCAACTTTATAATAAAATCATTCAAGAAAAGAAATGAAGTGGTTGCTCTGCTTGGTAACTCTTAGCATATCCCTTAAAATGGCAATGTATGGTCCCACTGTTGTGAGAAGTGACTGGGCAGCGGGACTGAACATGGCACAATATTTATATCTGTGTAAGTTATTTACTTATCTATATCTTTTGTAATTGTCATTAATTACAATTATCTATGTCATCAAACTGGCTTTAAACTGCCATGTAACTGTAGTTCACCCTCCCTTTAAGTTTGAACATATCCTTTTGTGTAACATATGCTTGTACCCATACTTTTATGGTAAATTTATAATCAAACCAAGGTTTATCTCACTGCTTAGATAGAATAATTTATGAGTAATTTTACTAGTACATATGTTCATTATATAAAGATTATTTTTTCATTCACAAACGGCTAGGCAACATAATAAGGTCGCGCGCGTTATACGTCACAGGTCTTGCGTAACTACCCACGTGCTACGATTTTTCCCTTGGGGGGGCAGCAAGCGGACATTTTGTACAGGAGCAATACAAAGATGGGTGAAAACGATACGTTGTTTTTAACCGAAAACGATGTCCCCGGGGCGAAACTGCCAACACCAAAATTAAAGGAGCATACCAACGTTGTTTTGAAACGATGTGGTTAGCCTGTCAGTGGCGTGTTGGGGAGAAAAGAGCAGCACTGATAGCAAGGTACTGTGTACACGTGAACCGGCAAAGTTAATGATAATTTCTGGTTGCAAAAGCATAATTAAATCAGTTAGTTATTTTCCAAACGATATTATTTGAATAGCAGATACATAGATCAAACTAACAGCAATAAAAATTTTTGATGACATTGAAAATCAAAACCTGCGGTGCACGATAGGTTGAGGAGGACACTGCCATGTAATGCATGAATTTTGTTACATTACACCATATGCTTGTGTCGTTGTTAACTCTGTGGTATTATTACTGCTCAAATTTATACCTGATACTATTTTTCAGGCTACCAAGTACAAATCAACTTATTTTGTGGCAATTGACCTCCATGTTCCATCATGTGTGCAGATTGTTTATTATTATTATTTGTTCAAGCACATTTTGATAAAGTGGCTATGCTTTAACAAGAGAAAGTCAAAATTTATGCTGAAGTTTAAAAGATAAAATCATCAGTAGTATATACAATTAAAGTTATTTGATTATGCATATTTGGTTTTCAGTTATCTTGATTATGATACGAGGTTCTTGCCTTTTTCTCTTGCCCTCAAATCAATATATAACAAGTAAATTGATAGTGCTTTTTTATAATTTTGGCTTTATACTTTCAGATGTAAAAACTGTGTAGCTGTTGGTAAAGCTGTAGAGATTGATGTGAGCATATATCAGGGGAAATGGTATTAGAGAAACTAGGAGGACAAGACATAGATAATGTACTAGTAGATCCATCATCACAGCAAGGGTAGATGGTATGATCTTGTCCCTGAAGCTGTGCCTCAAGTTTTCAACTGGTTGAGTCCTTACTAAGACAAGCTGCTGCAGTGTGAATTGCAATATGTAAATTCAGGTTATACATGGCAGATTTATGACAAAAGAGACCTTCACAATATACTTCAAAGGAGTTATTCTTGTGTCTATGCCTCATCAAAAGTACACAGTTGCAGTGACTAGAACATTTTCTGCAAATAGTGAGGCAATGAAGGCTGCAAGGTGCCATTGTTTTTCAGTATTAAGACTGGCAGTATCTGTTTTTAATTATTTTTTTTATTATTCTTTTTAATGGGAGGGAGACTCACTTTGTTCTTTCTATGCC